CTTGGAGAAGGACATCATGCTTGGGAGGGTGGAGGGACAGCGCAGGAGGGGAAGGCCCTCTATGAGGTGGATTGATTCAGTGACTGGGATAATCGGGATAGGAGTGTCAAAGACAGTGCGATTGGCACAGGACAGAGCAGAGTATAGGACTGTTGTACTTAGGGTCGCTATGAGTCAAAAGTGACTTGACGGCACATAACAACCACAACAATGTTTAGATTTAACTTATACTGAAGTCTTTTATCTTTTTCAGTGCTTCAAGTACTTTTTACTTTTAGCAAAATAGTAATATCATCTTTATAACAGATTATTGATGTCTTTTCTCTAATCCTAACCCCACATTCTTTTTCATATAGTCTAGATTCTCAGATTATTTACTCAGCATACAGATTGAATACAGATGGAATAGTGTGAGGATATAATCCTAACACACACCTTTCCTGATCTTCTTGTGTACTATAGAGTTGGAATCATCCCATAGCTGACCCTCCAGAAGGTTTCCAGAGGCAGTAAATTGCATGAGAGGAGTTTGCCCATCTTTCTCCACAGAGAAACTGTTGGATTTGAGTCATGCATATACCTTTGCATTGGTACAGTTCCTTACCACTAAACTACTATCCCCTTGCTCTGTTTAAACAATTGCTTCTTGGTTCATGACTAGTTGGGCATGAGCACAATTAGATCTTCTGGAATTCCCATTCTTCTCAATGTTATCCACAATTTATTATTATCCACACAATTGGATGTCTTTTTCATAGTCAATAAATCAGAAGTAAAAACCTTTCTAGTCTCTGATTTCAGTCAACATCCTACCAACATCAGTAGTGATAGTTCCCATTCCATGACCTCTTCTGAATCCAGCTTGGGTTTATGGCAGTTCCCTGTACATGTACAGCTCTAGCCAGTTTTTATTAATCATCTGCAAGATTTTACTCATTTATTATATCAGATAATTTCTGCATTGTGTTGAATCACTACTTTGATTATAGGTTTATAAATGTGTATTTAATTGCTTTGACTTTGTTTTTTTCAAAGTTGCTTTTCTATTATAGATCCTTTGCATTTCTATATAAATTTTTAAATAAGTCTCTCAGTTTGTACAAAAAGGCATTTTTTTATTACATTGAATCTCTAAATATATTTGGAGGGACATTGATATCTTATGATTCATGAGTTTTGACTTAAGATGTCAGAACTTATGTTGTTTAGATCTTCTTGTCAACAATGCTTGATAACTCTAGCTTACAGTTTTCATATTTTAAAATCATACATATAGATTTTGATTGAACGTGGACATTGACGTTTTGCATGAATGAGTGCTGGATTTTTGTTTTGTTTCTTTTAAAGTGAGTTGGATTTTTGTCATACAATTTTGTTACTTTGGACCACTTCGCAGCTGATTTTTAAGCTTTGCTTTAGCAAGGTTAAAGCAGCTTTTACTCTGTGACTAACTCAGATCCACTACTAAATGCTACCTTTTTTGAGGTCCCCATCCAATGTCCCTTATATTAGGAGATCTCTACATTCTGGCTACTGCACATGTAAACTATCCCTATCTTTGAGATCTGATTCATTATTACTTAAAGTATTTTCCCTCATATTCATGTAGTTTCACATGTGCCCAGCACATGTACAGATGCAGCATCTTCATTTTTAATGATACTCATTTTATAAAACCAGAAATTTTTGTCTCACAATTCTAGAGGCTAAAAATCTGTAATGTCAGCAGCTTTATGCTGTCTTTGAACATTCTAAGGATTCTTTCTTATCTCTTTTAGCTTCTGGTAGCCCATGTATTTCTTGGTTTGTGGATGCTGGGTTACAAGAAATTTTTCTCTGGATCTGTTTGTGCAAGAGTTGACTCGAACTTTGCCATTAGGATATGTCCTGCAATGTTTGGTATTAAATTATAAGGGGAGATAGTAAGCTCATCATATGTGTAATTCAAGGGAACTTTCCTTGAACTCGGTGATTTACTCTAAGCACTTTCATTGAAATTTTTTTATGAAAACAGTAACAACTATAAGAGCATATGCCTCATTTCTTCTATGAAGCATATGCTCTTAAAAGAAAGGAAATTATAAAAGAGAACTAAAAAAATTAGAGAACTAATTAGATAGAAAAATAATGAAACAAAAATAAAGAACATATGACTCACAAATGGAGACTTGTACACCTGTGTTCATAGCAGCATTTTTCACTATCTCAAGAACATGGAAACCCCAAATATACAACCACAATCAAATGGATTAAGAAATTATGGTACATTTACACGATGGAATACTATGCAGCTTGCAGGAGCAATGATTTTGTAAATCGCTAAACTTGGGAGGGACTGGAAAGCATTATGCTAAGTGAACTAACTCAGAGTCACAAGGACAAATACTGTATAAGACTATTGTAGAACGTGTATGAAGATCCAAGGCGAGTAGTGTGGGAGCAGAGGGGTGAGGAAGAGCCAGGGGAGGGGGCGATTAATCATAGGGTCACAAAATTTGATGGGTGAAGAGAGGGGTGAGTAAAGGAAATGGGAAGGATCTGGTGTGAAAAACAATGTATGTAATGGATACAAACTTTGTTAATAAACCAGTATAAAATTAAAAAATGTATTTAAAAAAAAGAGTAAGTGCCTCAAGCATAATTCGTCAACAAATTATATATATAAATATTATCAATAATACTCTACAAAAACATAATATTTCTAGCTTCTTTGCATGAGGACTATTTAAAAAGTCATTAACACTTCTGTTTCTTCATGCTGATTCATCTTTGCCTTTTTTTATTAAGATAGTAGTTATGTAGCATTTCATCATGTAATTCACTAGCTATACTTTAAAACAATTTATCAATCTGAAATATCAAACTACCTTTAAATTTAACATTTACAAGGTGTGGTATGACTCATCTCACTGTCAGGTGAACTCTTAACAGGTGTTGCCCACACGAGCAATCCTATTAGTCAACAGCATGTTGCTGAGGAAAATGCCTTTCCGGTTCTTATTAATTTACTAAGAAATCACCCTTCTCCAAATATTAAGGTATGAATAAAATTTAAAAATATTTATGATATAGTAAAATTTAATTACAATAATACTTTTTAAAAAATTTCTATCGTTATGCAAATTAACAAGCATAATAAAAATATTTAACCTTTTAAACAAACTGTTGTTATTTTAGATTATTAGTTAGCCATTACAAACTATAAGATAATAGTAAATGTTTATGAAAATGTGATTTCCTGAAAGATGACAAAGAAGTCTATGGTCTTATCCATCAAAGAAATTTTATTCCTTGCTATTCACAAAATTTTTTCCTTTCTTCAAATATTGGCTGCAAAACTAGGGGCTATGTAAAGGTGTGTGATTTATTGTGGCAATATTTCTCAAATGTACATTAATATTGTTCACATTATACCATCAAAGGAGCCCTATCTTCCACAAAAGCAGAGTCTGTTCGCAGGCAGTTTTATCAACCACCTATGTCATAAGGGATTAATCTGAATTTTTGAAGAGACATTTATTCTTCTATTTACTTACAGTAAAATATCATTAATAGCATGACATTAGTATCTAATAAAAGCTTTTCACTAGGACTTTAGTAAATTCAGGAACTCCACAGTTTTCCAAGAAGGAAGTTATAACACCATTTTCTCCTCAAAAGTTAGTATGGGTTCTGGTAGGCTGGAGGAAATGGAAATAACATAAGTGAGAAATCACTAGGAAAATATAGCATTGTTTCTTTTAATTAAATGTATCTGTTCTTGTACTGAAGTAACTTAGGGATTCTGTGATACTGAATGCTGTGCCACTGGTTTGTCAAATGAAATAACAGTTACCCACGGTGGACAGTGTTTGGTGGAGCTCCCAGGTTAAGACAGACTTGGAAGTAGGATTGACATCCACTTCCTATACAACAGGCCTTTGTAAACTCTATGAACATTATATAAACAACGATAGTTATAGAACAGGGTTCAGATATTTTGTTGATGGGGTTGCTATGAACTGTACACAGTTCGACAGCACTTAACAACAACAATCTGTTCTTATAAAAGAAGTGACATCGTATGGCCATTTGATTATGAAATATTATTTCATTACCTGTGTTGCTTAGAGAAACAAAGCAAAAATAAGTATATACTACATTTTTGCTTGAATTATTATAAGTAAAGTCTAAACTGGTTTCAAAATAGTAGATTCTGTATGCCTGTGGGAAATGTCACATAAAGGCATTTTTATTTTATAACATGCAACTTTATGGCAAATAGTTTACTTCAGTTGCATCTGTTTATGTATTTGCCATGAGCTCTGTTTGTTAAAATGGGATAAATACATTTCTGTGTTTTTATCAAATTGATTCAATAATATTTTTGCAATAATACAAAATGATGCTTTCCAAATTCCCACATTTTTGTTGAAATATATAGAAATGCTTTGCAAATCCATTTAATTCTCATAAATATTTATTAAAGAACTTTAAAATGCACATTAACTAATTCTAGAACTAAAAGAGGAAAAACCATAAAATAGGAATTACTGACGTAATTTTTCAGTATTGCTTTCACATACACTGCTTAAATAGATAGTTCATTAATAGTTCATATATCAATGATTGGTAGGTAACAACTAAGGCAAAACAGCTGTTTTAAATTATGCCAGAGTTAGTAGTATAATTATCATTATTTATATGTAACTATATTATACATTATATATGGAGGGATATTTAGGATCACATTTCTTACATGTCCTGCTGGTCATGGTTACCTCCCACTATAACCTCAAATGTAGCACTATGGTTGTACCTACATACAAGAGGAATGATATCCTTAGCTATTAAAATGAGGAAAGCTATGGAATTGGCAAAAGTTGTATATTTACTCTAAAAAAAAAAAGGTAACCATTGAGGCTGATTATGTGTAACCAAACACTCCATGATCCCTTGGTTTGAATGTTTAGGGTCATGGTTTCATGGTATATCCAACTAATTGGTCTAATTAATGTGTTCTGTGCTTCTGTTCAACCTTAGTTTGCTCCATAGTGCCGTGAATCTTAAAAGCTTGCAAGCAGCCATCCAAAGCAAAGCAACCAGTTTTACTTCAACAGGAGCAATAGAATGATAAAGAGAGTCAGGAATAGGAGAAGGATATAGAATGCATGGCTAATCTCTTCCATGAATAACTGCTTCTTTGTCATGAGATCTGGATGCCATCCTACCATTACTGAACACTTCCATAGATTTCCTATAACAATCCTGACTAAAAGAGGGGAAATGTAGAAAAGGATTTCCATATCTCATGGACTGTGGGTTTTCTGGAGTCATGAAGTATAGATAACTCCTGAATATAATTATCCTGAGATAATACCTGTAGTTCTTTAAAGCTTAGACAATAGCTAGCTTAACTGGGAGGGGAAAAAATATCCTCCTTGATTGTTAATGCTCTTTTAAGAATTTTCTATGTGGGATCAAATTGACAACAACAATTCAAAAGATGAAGTAGTAACTTTAGGAGACAGTGCATGTATGTGAATGAATGAGGAACAAACCAGAAAAGGAGAGAATGGGTACACAGTTGAAAGAATATAATAAATGCCACCAAATTGCACATGTAAAAATTGTTCAATTGATGTATATTTTGCTGTGTATAGTCTCAAAAACAATAAAAAATAATTTAAAGAAACAATTATAAGAGCTATCTGTTCAAGTTATAAAGCTACTCTTTAAATACTAAAGAATTGGAATCAATAGAATTTATTATAGCATGCTTAATAGTGTATTTCAATCATGTATACAGTGTAAATGTTTGTAAAATTAAATATGTCATTTAATAATACGTGAGTGAGAAAATAAATTTCTGAAACCACAATTTAGGTTGAAGTGGCATTTTCACTGGCATGCATTGTCCTGAGAAATAATATATTACAGAATCAATTACAAGAAACTGAAGGCTTTAAGTATGATGATGTTCTTTATCTTCTCCACTCACCAGATAAGGTAAAACCTTCATAAGGTATAAATATAGACTATAGCTTTTAGTTCAATCCTCAACTCAAATATTCTTGTTATTGTTGTTGTTCTTGTTGTTATGTGCCATTGAGTCACTTGTAACTTGTAACCTTATGTACAATAGCTTTGAACCCTGTTCTATCTCAAGCCAATTTCATTACCTTCTCCCATTACCCCAGTCATTGAGTAAATCCATCTTATCTAGAGTCTTCCTCTCTTGTTCTGTCCGTCCGTTCTTCCAAGCATCATGTCCTTCTCCAAGGCTTCATTCTCTCCAGGATATACCTGTTTGTTCTCTTAGCAGTCCATCGTATATTCAGAACTCTTCTCTAGGACCACAACTCAAAGGCATCAATTCTTCTTCTATCATCCTTAGTCATTGTCTAGCTCTCTGCTGCAGAGCAAGCAATTGTGAAGATTATGGTCTGGATCAGGTGTACCTTACTTAGTCTTTAGACTGACATTATTGTTCTTCAGTCCTCTGAAGAGGTCCCTGACTTCAGATGTTCCCAGTGCAATTAATTTTTTTATTTCTTGCCTGCTTGTACCAAGAGTGTTGATTATGGAGCCAAGCAAGCTGAAGCTGTTAACAATCTTAATTTCTTGATCTTGAGCTTCATATTGAAGACTGCAATCCTTGACCTTCTGCAGCAAATGCCTCAGATACTGTGCTATTTGAATGTGTCGTTTAACAAAAGAAATGTAAAAAGTCTCATTTTAGATCATTACTTTAAAATAACCCACTTGCTCTTGAGCTGATTCCAACTCACAGCAACTATCTATGACAGAGAAGTGTTCAATATGGTTTGCACAACTACAGTTTTTATGGAAGCAGACTGCCAAATCTTTCTCCCATGGAGCAGCTGGTGAATACAAACTACCACCTTTGTGGTCAGCAGCTGAATGCTTAATTAGTTTTCCTTTTATACAATAACACTGCTTCATCTTTTTCATAGAGTTCTTGAATAGTGAAGTTAACTTCCCCAGTTGCTAGCTGAAAGGCTATCAGTTAAAGTCCACCTATAGCACATTTTCATAGGGTTTTCAGAGGCCTGCTATTTCAGAAGTGGATGGCCAATCCTTCTTCCTAATCTGTCTCATTGTGAATGTTCTGATTTAGAGAAGTATTAGACAGACCAGCAAGTTAAAGGTATATCCCTTATTGCGGAGTTAACTTTAGTGTCATTGTTGTCCCTGCCTTTCTCACATGCACCTTTACGCACTTATTTCCTGAGAAATGAGTCAGTCAGTTCACTGTTGACATGCTGTTTCAGTCATTTTTGGATAATCTTCAGCAGAATCTTGCTTGCACGTGATGGTGAAGAGATTGAGATTATTAACAGCTTTAGTTTGTTTGGCTCCACAAGCAAACTTCTCTTGGTACCAGCAGCCAGGAAATTAAAAGACGAATTGCACTGGGAAAATCAGCTGTCAGAGCACTCTCCAAAGTACTGAAGAGCAAAGGTGTCAGTATAGAGACTTAGGTGAGCCTGATCCAGGCCATAGTATTTGCAATTACTTGCTAGGCATCAGAAAGCTGGACAATAACTAGGGATGACAGAAGGAGAATTGAGGCCTTTGAGCTGTGGTGCTAGAGAAGAGTATTGAATATAACATGGACTGCTAGGAGAACAAACAGATTTGTCCTAGAGAGGGGGAGACCAGGCTACTCTTTAGAGGCAAAGATTTTAAAGCTTCATATGACATACTTTGGACATGTTGCAAGGAGGGACTAGTCCTTGGAGAGGGAC